AAATGATAATTATAACAAAATATTAATGTAACTCTATAGATCTGTAAATAGTATATATCAGTGTTGTTAAGACATGATTATATGTGATGTTAATATGCATTGTTAAAAAAATCAAACGCCCTTGTAACAGGCGAAAGCCTTTTACGCCAAATAAAGATGATTATGATTATGAATAATCCACCAACCATGTTGTTATATTTAAACAAAAAATTTAAATAAATAAGCTGTTTAAAATCATATTATGAAATGCAAATATTTTAATTTAAAAGTCTTCAATATAAAAATTTATTAGCTATACTTAATAGTTTGAAGTCTAAAATTTAAGTATATGCATCATGATAGATTTTGTTTACATACTGTGTTAGTAACTAAAGTAATAGAATTTATTCCTAAAAATTTAATATATTTCTATAGGACAGTTTATGTTAATTTAAATGTATTCCAGAAACACAATCCCTACATTAATTATGATTTCTTATAAACCTGATATAATGCAACCTAAAGATTTTAAACTCTAAAATTCAAAATACTGTTTAAGATTTCAAATAATATTAAATCTGAATAATAAAAATTCTACAAAATTAAAAAGTTTTTAAGATTTAAATTATTAACAAATGATAAGATTAAATATTGATGTATATTTAATTGTCTATGTATTTTTTAAATTTTAATATTAAAATTCAATAGGTTACAATCAATTATTTCAGACTATAGAAATCAAATGTAGAAAGAAAAAAACTAAAAAATATTAAAAAAATTAGAAAATCAAAATAATTGAGGATAAGTAACTAATTAGATATTTTAAAAAATATTTAAATAATTTTTTTGACACCGAAAATCAACTTTAATTATTTAAAATAAAGACTTTTCATATAAAAAGAAATTTAAAAACTTACTAATGAAACTTAAATGCTATAATATAAACATTTTTTTTCTATTATTTTCAAAATATAAAAAAGGTAAAAAGTGAAATACTTTGAAAAAAAAAATCAAAATATAGCAAAAATTAAAATATTATTTGGGGAAAAATATGTGACAACCTTTTACATTAGTTGGATGATGGTTATAATCTATTCCTCCAATAGTACATCGACGAAAAATCATACAATTTTCTGTAAGAGTACCAGTCTTATCAGAAAATACATACTGTACTTGACCTAATTCTTCAGGTATATTCAATGCTCGGCATTCTACTCTTTTATTTGATATTTCATCATAAAGTTCAACATCTTCATGAATAAAATATATTTGTCCAAGCTTAATGATTTCTATTGTTACATACAGAGATAACGGAATAATGACCTACAGAAAATTAAATATAAAAATTTTAAAAAATAAACATTGAAATTTTTTAAACATGAAATCACAAAATGCAAATTTCAATATTTCTTATTTAAATCAAATTTAATGTGACAATTAAATAAATAGATAATAATTGAATAAAATTACCTGCAAAATAATAATGAAAGTGAAAATAGAATATGCACCCTGAGCAACTGGAGAGGAACTAGTATAGTTATTAGGAATAAATGGAACTTGCTTGATGTTAACATATGAATTTATCCAAAGTCCATAACCTAAAAATAAAATTCTTAAGGTTAGCTTCTATTTATATATTTCAAAATTAGAGGACACTAAATATAAAGTTATATTTCAATAAAAATTTGTTTGGGCCAAATGGCCAAACATATTTAGCACTATGTAAAATTTAATAACTATCTATTTGAAAAGACTTTTTGCTTATCATTTTTAATAAGTTACAAAAAATCTTCAGATATATTTAATTTTGTATTTATATTTTATCAAAAACTAGAATAATCTGAAAAACAAGTTTAGCATTTTACAAGTTTTACATTAAAAGGGGAAAACACTTGTATTTATTTTATAAATGAAATGTAAAATAGTATTATACCACTATTTCACACATAGAATTCATACAGTTCTGTTAATTTGTTGGGAATCCCAAGTCTACAATGATGCTCCCCCCTCTCTCTCAACATTCTTGTCTGAATCATCTTCTAAACCAAGTCCTCAACAAGCTGACTGTTGCTGAGGTCTCCACTGAAGGACTGGGCTACTTTTTTTTTTATCCTCCATTCAAAATTGAGAATAATCCTCTAAATTTCTTTTCCTTTGGTTCTCCATGTACCAATCACATGAGAGAGAGGCCTTTTTTGTCTAGGTGTTCAAGCCCTTTTCTTCAAAAAGGCCTTACTATCAACAGAAATAACCCATCACTCTATCCATATGCTAAAGAGTTAGAGCATTACTGGAGTTATAAACTTATATTAATAAAACAGACATACTGCACTAGTCTACCAATCTTAAAGAAGCAAAGAAACATATATATTAAAATAATATAATAAAATAATATATATATATTAAAATAATGTTTTGTAGAACTATTCCTTTCATTTGTACTTGTAAATATTCTAGAATAACAATATCCCAACATGCACATTATAAATTTATCATCATTTTTATTGTTTATTAGTAATAAACTCATTCATTCATGTCAGTATATTAAACACTGACATGAATTCAAATATATCTGAAATTATGTTCTTTCTTGGCACCATTATCTGTCCATTGGTACTAAAATATGGCTGGCTGAGTGCAATAGTAGGCAATTATAGAACATGGGTGCTGAAGGCATCCCCAGTCAGCTTAAGTAACCAAAAAGATTGGACAGAAGTCTGAATAGCATAACAAACAACTCATTCGCAAGATAAGTGGAAGTTGCAAGTTCCAGTCCCACTCCAGGCCAATTCTTTTTTCCAGAATATTCTAAATTATTTATTAAATATTAATTTAATTATAATTATTAAACTTAATATGAGATGGCACCTAAAGCCTACCTCTAGTACCAAATTATTTAGAATTTAATTTAAAATAATAGTGGTAAAGTAACCAGATTTAATCTGACAAACATTTGGCTAAATCAACACTGAACAGATGCAGAAGATAGTAATGTTTCTGCTGTGTCTTAAAAATACTGATATTATAGTAGGATAACTGTTCAAATAAGTGAAAAACTTCCATTCTGATAAAACTTGTTGAAGACATATGATCCTTTCATAAAAACAAAAAACAAAAATTTTAATTTTCTTTTTCAGATAAACTAGCAATAGCAGATGAAGTAATGTTTGTATAACTAATTTTTTCAGTCCCATCTTGAAGCATTTTCTGACAGTCCTCAAATTCCTGTTGGCTAGACACTTATATCCATTTCAATTTGAGAATGAGGGCTTACAGCAGCATGAATTTATTTATAATGACAACAATGTCATTGCNTATAAAAAGAAATTTAAAAACTTACTAATGAAACTTAAATGCTATAATATAAACATTTTTTTTCTATTATTTTCAAAATATAAAAAAGGTAAAAAGTGAAATACTTTGAAAAAAAAAATCAAAATATAGCAAAAATTAAAATATTATTTGGGGAAAAATATGTGACAACCTTTTACATTAGTTGGATGATGGTTATAATCTATTCCTCCAATAGTACATCGACGAAAAATCATACAATTTTCTGTAAGAGTACCAGTCTTATCAGAAAATACATACTGTACTTGACCTAATTCTTCAGGTATATTCAATGCTCGGCATTCTACTCTTTTATTTGATATTTCATCATAAAGTTCAACATCTTCATGAATAAAATATATTTGTCCAAGCTTAATGATTTCTATTGTTACATACAGAGATAACGGAATAATGACCTACAGAAAATTAAATATAAAAATTTTAAAAAATAAACATTGAAATTTTTTAAACATGAAATCACAAAATGCAAATTTCAATATTTCTTATTTAAATCAAATTTAATGTGACAATTAAATAAATAGATAATAATTGAATAAAATTACCTGCAAAATAATAATGAAAGTGAAAATAGAATATGCACCCTGAGCAACTGGAGAGGAACTAGTATAGTTATTAGGAATAAATGGAACTTGCTTGATGTTAACATATGAATTTATCCAAAGTCCATAACCTAAAAATAAAATTCTTAAGGTTAGCTTCTATTTATATATTTCAAAATTAGAGGACACTAAATATAAAGTTATATTTCAATAAAAATTTGTTTGGGCCAAATGGCCAAACATATTTAGCACTATGTAAAATTTAATAACTATCTATTTGAAAAGACTTTTTGCTTATCATTTTTAATAAGTTACAAAAAATCTTCAGATATATTTAATTTTGTATTTATATTTTATCAAAAACTAGAATAATCTGAAAAACAAGTTTAGCATTTTACAAGTTTTACATTAAAAGGGGAAAACACTTGTATTTATTTTATAAATGAAATGTAAAATAGTATTATACCACTATTTCACACATAGAATTCATACAGTTCTGTTAATTGTTGGGAATCCCAAGTCTACAATGATGCTCCCCCCTCTCTCTCAACATTCTTGTCTGAATCATCTTCTAAACCAAGTCCTCAACAAGCTGACTGTTGCTGAGGTCTCCACTGAAGGACTGGGCTACTTTTTTTTTTATCCTCCATTCAAAATTGAGAATAATCCTCTAAATTTCTTTTCCTTTGGTTCTCCATGTACCAATCACATGAGAGAGAGGCCTTTTTTGTCTAGGTGTTCAAGCCCTTTTCTTCAAAAAGGCCTTACTATCAACAGAAATAACCCATCACTCTATCCATATGCTAAAGAGTTAGAGCATTACTGGAGTTATAAACTTATATTAATAAAACAGACATACTGCACTAGTCTACCAATCTTAAAGAAGCAAAGAAACATATATATTAAAATAATATAATAAAATAATATATATATATTAAAATAATGTTTTGTAGAACTATTCCTTTCATTTGTACTTGTAAATATTCTAGAATAACAATATCCCAACATGCACATTATAAATTTATCATCATTTTTATTGTTTATTAGTAATAAACTCATTCATTCATGTCAGTATATTAAACACTGACATGAATTCAAATATATCTGAAATTATGTTCTTTCTTGGCACCATTATCTGTCCATTGGTACTAAAATATGGCTGGCTGAGTGCAATAGTAGGCAATTATAGAACATGGGTGCTGAAGGCATCCCCAGTCAGCTTAAGTAACCAAAAAGATTGGACAGAAGTCTGAATAGCATAACAAACAACTCATTCGCAAGATAAGTGGAAGTTGCAAGTTCCAGTCCCACTCCAGGCCAATTCTTTTCTTCCAGAATATTCTAAATTATTTATTAATATTAATTTAATTATAATTATTAAACTTAATATGAGATGGCACCTAAAGCCTACCTCTAGTACCAAATTATTTAGAATTTAATTTAAAATAATAGNTTCAATATAAATTTTAAAATTTTACTAGTTATTTCTGAATTTTAATAAAATAATAATTTATGAATAATATTTTAAAATTAGGACATGAAACGAAAGCTATGCTTAATAATGGAGGTCCAAGATATAAAAGGAGTAAATTGGAAAAACTAATGAATAAACATATTTTGGGCTGTATTGGAATTTTAGTTGTTTTATGTTTAATTGGTGCCATTGGTAAGTAAAATTTATACTTATAATTAATTAATTTGTTTGTATATCAAAATGATATCTTGGTACACAAACATAGAGAATTATCATTCCTATTATGATACAGAGTATCTTTGTGTGTGTACACAGACAAATATAGGTACTGTAAATTTATTTATAATGACAACAATGTCATTGCAAATAAGTTATAATTAAATTAGTTTTAATTAAATTTTTCATTGATATGAAGTTTTTACTAAATTTTAGAAGTCCTAATGATGTTAATTATATAAATTAGAAATAGCATCATTACGACTTCTAAAATTTAGTAAAAACTTAATATCAATGAAAAATTTAATTAAAACTAATTTAATTATAACTTATTTGCAATGACATTGTTGTCATTATAAATAAATTTACAGTACCTATATTTGTCTGTGTACACACACAAAGATACTCTGTATCATAATAGGAATGATAATTCTCTATGTTTGTGTACCAAGATATCATTTTGATATACAAACAAATTAATTAATTATAAGTATAAATTTTACTTACCAATGGCACCAATTAAACATAAAACAACTAAAATTCCAATACAGCCCAAAATATGTTTATTCATTAGTTTTTCCAATTTACTCCTTTTATATCTTGGACCTCCATTATTAAGCATAGCTTTCGTTTCATGTCCTAATTTTAAAATATTATTCATAAATTATTATTTTATTAAAATTCAGAAATAACTAGTAAAATTTTAAAATTTATATTGAAAGTTTTTCCTAATTTTATTTAACAAAACTGATGTTATTAGCAACACATTACCAACCTTTAACATGTAGTCTATTTTATCAACGTAATCTAATGTTTTCAGCCAATTAATTGACCGAAAATGTTAGATTATGTTAATAAAATAGACTGCATGTTAAAGGTTAGTAAAGTGCAGTTTAAGAAGAGCATGTTATTAGCTAAATATTATTTCTATTTAATACATTATCTAATTAAATGTTTCTTTTTTTAAAAAAATCTAATTTAGTTTACTTGAAAATTGTGATTTATAATTATTCAGATATTACAATATCTGTAATATCTGAATAATGAATCATGTAAATCATTAAAATTATTTTATAGCACAATTAATTTACATTATATTTCTGTATTTTGTAAAATTAAAAAATGCATAATGATTAAAAATATTGTTAATTTATCTCAGGATTTAAACATTTTGATATAGATTTTAAATATGGAATTTATATCTTAGATTTTCAATTAAATTTTGTTTAACAAATAAAAAATTTCCTGTAATATAAATTTTTACACTACAGTAAATTTTTTACAGGTTTATGGGTTGTCGGTTACACTACTCATAACTGACAATGTATTCGTATGGTAAGCAAGAGCTGTGGGTCAGAGTCTCGTACTAGGCCAATTCTTTTCTTCCAGAATATTCTAAATGATTTATTAAATGTTAATTTATTATAATTATTAAATTTAATAAGAAATAGCATCAAATGTCTACCTCTAGTAACAAATTACTTAAAATTTAATTATTAATGTAGCAAAAAATATCCCAATGCAATATGATATTGTTTGGTATTAACTAATAACATCAGGTTTGAGATGATTACATATGTAATAAAAAATTTGTTTACTGCATATAAACATCATTTTTCATAAATCTTTACTTGTATTACAAATGCCATCCTTATTTAATTGTATGTTGTTTATATATTTTAAAACTTTATTAACTAAAAATTTAAATTTATTCATCACTTTTTCTTCAAAAATCACCATTAAATTATTAAAAGAAATTTATAACCCAATTACATGCATTCTAAGAAAACAAAATTTAAAATTCTATTTTTTAAAGTAAAGAATGATATTTTAAAATCTTATTTAATAAATTCTGAAAATGTATCTCCTCAAAAAAATGTCATCTCTAAACTTATAAAAAATCTATAATTTTGAAAAAATATTTTATCAAAATTCAAAAAATAACTCATTTTCAAGGCATTTTAGTCATCATTTAAATCCAAAACAAGAATTTCAATTAATTTTACAATTTTAATTAATATAAATTCATAAAGTCCACATTTTTATTTAGCACTGTTATTCTGTAAATACAATCATCATTTTTTATTTTTCACATTAAGATGTAGAATTTAGTGACTTGCAATATTCATACATTTATTTAATGTATGAATATTTATTTATGCTTGGAATATAATGCCAAATATATGCTTGGCATTATTTCCATATAATGCCAAGCATAAAATCCAAGCATATAATTCCAAGCATAAATAATGCTTGGAATATAATGTTGTATTAATTTTATTAATAAAAATTTTTTCTGGTATTTTAATACTACTACTACTGAAAATAAATGTTATTTATTAAAGAATTAATGATAAAATACCAAATTAATAAATACGTATATATATATATATCTCAATATCAATTTTACCTGCATATAAAACAATTCCTTCTATAAAATCAGTATTTTTTAAAACACAATCTCTCAAAACTAAATTTTCTTTTGTTACTGCTATTCTGCAACCATCTGGTGATACTCTGAAATAATAAAACAATTATTTAAAAACTAAAATTATTATTATAATTAAATTAAAAATAGCAAATGAATGTAGGTACTGTACATAAACATGAGAATATTTAACTTCAACACAACATCAAACAAGTAACAGGTTATTATTTGGTCTATTCCCAGACTATCATCAGGACAAACTCCAATTTAAAAATGGAAAACATTCCAAAATATGCTTTGAACTACATATAAACAACCCTACTAACCCAATGCAAAGCAATAACACATCAACAACTGCCATAAATCATCAAGCTATAACTTGGAATAAATAATTGTAAATTACAAATGAATTTGGCACTAGAGGGAGGTGTTAGGTACCATCTTGTATTAAAATTAATAATTATAATATTTAATTAAATAATTTAGATTAAACTGGAAGGAAAGAATCGGCCCAAAGCGGGACTCAAACCCGTAACCGCCACTTACGATGTGGATGTTTTGCCAGTTATGCTACCCAGACTTCCGGTCTAATCTCCTCTTCCAGTATATTTAACGTTAAGCTATAATCATCATTGGTTACTATGATGCCGATTAGGGATGCATTCAGCACCCCTGTCCAGTAAACATCTACACAAGGCACTCAGTCAGCCATTGAATACCTGATAAACATAGGCAAGGCGTAGATAAACATGAACAATCCTACTAACCCGATGCAAAGCAATAACACACCAACAACTGCTGAAAATTATAGCCCAATGATTTACGGCAGTTGTTGGCGTGTTATTGATTTGAACTACAAGTTTTGAAATGGTTAATATCAAAGCCAGAATATAAATGTCAAAATTAAAATAAATATATATTACTAAGGAAAAAAAATATTATTAACATACATAATTGCCTAGTAAGCAATTTTTTTCATTTTTGGCAGGCAATTATTGAAGTAAAACATATTAACATTGCACAAAGGAAAAAGCATGATTCCAAAAGTGATGTAAAACTAGTTAAATCAGAATACTGTGACAAATATATATATAAAGTTAAATGAAATACTTAAATTACCTTAATTAATTTCATAAATTTCAATAATTCACAATATCAATAATATTGAACATTGATAATAATATTAGTCAGTCTTCATTTTTCTGACTTCAATATTAGAATATAATTGTATTGATAACTAATTATTTGATACTATCAAACACCACAATTATACCAATATTTAGGTCAACCAGTGCAGTGTATTTCACAATACAAATTAGATGGATGATTACTACATAAAATATAGTAAATTAAAAACACAATATCAAACTTCTTAAAACAGTGAAAACTTTAATAAGTTAGATATAACAAATTCCATGCAGCTGGTAGTGATTTAGTGCCATTCACCTTCAAGACCTTTAGTTTCTGTCTCTGTATTTCAATTTTCTCAGTAGGTGCCACATATTTAGGTGATCTAATGTTGCTGATTACTTTAGTAGCATTTTATACAACTTCTGCCTTCAGCATTAGCAAAACATGCAAATGGTGTATTATATCTAAACTTACAATCATCATATTGGTGTTCATCAATTGCTGTTTAAAGTTCCTGCTGATATGCTGTATCAGTCTACCATACTGCTGTTATTAGCCAATATGATATAGACCCAAGTTCTATGTTCATCTGAGATTTTGTCTGTCATTTCTTAACCATTTGTAGTTGGTGAAATTATACTTATAAAGTAACAGAGTCATATGATGCCACCAACTCTATGTATTGAAGCCTTCTTAAATCCAAATTTATACAAAGGTTTACACTTAGCCAACCTTCCACCTGCTTTATATCCCAGCTGGTTTGCATGATCCTTTTGATTTCAAATTATTGGCATTCAGAGCCCTAATTAAGAGAGTATATTTGCACTGCACAAAGTTGAAGATAGAGATAAACAGTTTAACAAGATACCATAAATGGCAATCACACTTGGTATAAGAGAACTTGATTCATTCCTATTTAAGTCTATAATTTTAATATCAGTCCAACCACCAAACAAGTCCATACAAGATCATTGTAATTTGGCTAAGATGGCTTCAATACATAGAGTTGGTGGCATCATGTGACTCTAGGTTACTTTATAAGTATAATCCTATTATCCCCATTATATAAGATTACATAATGTCTAGGAAGTGAACAGATATGCTGCTTTGCTTTTCTAACTTTAGAGTCAGCCCAAACAAGTTTATATTTATGGCTTTAACAAAGTCACTTATTCCTGTTGTGGTCCTCCATATTATTAAGATATCATCACTGTATCTGCAGTTCAATACCAAATCTGCCATAAGGTAGGTAATACTGATTTTTCAGTCCTTTTAATCACTAGTTTACAAAGAGTTCCTGACAATGGGCTCTCCATGGAAACTGCACTTTTTCTGTAGGTAAGTGCATCCATCAGAGATGAAGAAGTTGTGTAGTATACCAGATTTGCAAGTTCTGTTAGCTCATCCCTAAAATCACTGGCACTAGGAACATGCCAAAGGTGAAAGTCTATTAATATCTCAAAACACAGTTGTAAGTTGATGGATGAGTACATATTTTCATAATCCAGCAACATAGCAAGTTTATCTATTAGATTAATGTTATTAATTTCTTCCATCAGACATGCAGGGTAGAGGCAGAGAAACCATATGAGTTTAAGTTAGTATGAAACTCCACAAACTTTTTTCTAACAGAAAGGTTAGTAACCAATATTTTTGCAAAACCAGTTGTAATTGTTTGTCCTTTTGCATTTTTGCAAAACCAAATAACCTAGGGAACTTGATGCTTGGTTAGATATGCATCTCACAAACAGTAGAACTTTATTTAATACAGAATTTGCTAACTTCTTAACTTGACATTTGATGAATGACAGAATCAATTCAATTATGCATTTACAATCTGTCTTCCTAAAATATTTCTGCATTGCATTCACATAAGTAGAATCTTTCTTTATAATCGCTTGGTTTTGTCCATTCTTGTGAGAATGAGATTATCCTGTGCTAATCATTTCTTTGAGAAATATAAGTTTCTACAGAAGTGTGAGAGCCAAAATTGGTGAAATATTTTCTTTAAATATTATTTGTTGAAAGACAAAACAAAAAGCAAAAGTGTTAAAGACTATTAAAACTGGTTCCCATGGACTTACTTCCTTGTTAAAGGTGACACTTTGGATGTCTCACCCGGAACCAATGAGTGAAAAATTGACTATTGGTCCAAACATACTAAAATTCCTAACCAAGTCATGGAAAAAACTAGGACGAACCCCCTAATAAAAAGAAGAGGTCAATGAGTCGTCGTCATCATCCAGTTTTTTTCTTGAACTGTGTGTGTCCAGCTGCTTGTCATTGCCAATCTTAGCCATCGCCACTCAAGAGAATCTGTCATTGCTCAAGAAAAATTGTCACCACTCCAGAGGAAAGTACCTCCTTACTTCCTGAAAGTTCCGAACAGATCTTCAATTTCTACGAACTTTTAAGATATTTATCAACACACAAACAATTGTAAGCTCTCTCTCTCTCTCATGGTCAGGGTCGTGATCATAATAATAAGGTTTATCTTCTATATGTCATATTTTTAGCATCTGCTAAGCATCTGTATATAGCTTGTAAATAGATAGTATCGATTAATAAACAACAAATATTTTGTTAAATAATAACTTTCTGGAGTGTTCTTCTTCTGGTTGTCTCCTTCAGCCTCCATTCCGAGTCTGAAAACCTACGACACAACCGCTTGCATGAAAACTAATGTAATGGCCATAGAAATTTCTGTGTCCGGAAGACATGGTGGCGTCAGTCCTGACAGGACATCAAAGAGGTGCTGACCCTGCAGTCACAGAAGCATTTATGATCACTACTGGCCTACTGAGACTGAAAGGCTACATTATTTTAAAATAGTCAACTGTTAATATAGCCATTTCCCTGAGTTATTTTTCAAATTCTGGAATGAAAGTTGACATGCCAGGTTTTACATACGGTAAAAAAACAGGACAAAGTTCCAGTCTCTTTTGCCCATGATGGAACCATTGTCTGTTGCATTGTCCCAAATTATAACTGGCATAGAAGATTTCCAATATGGTGTGTTGGTGTTTATATGAAATCCATTTTAATTTTTTAACATATTCCATTCTCTGAGCTACAATATCTACCGATCTATGCAACCAACTACCTTGGAGTTAATTTAATTAAGCATACTAGGATCCTTGTCATAAAACTAGTTCTCTAGACCAACTAATGCAGCCAATGATTGGAATTTCTTGACTTTAGTAATATGAATTGATTTATTGAGTCAGAGTCTCCAAACCTTGAGTAACAAGAAACTACATATTAATGGAAAGGTTATTCTGTAGTTGGGATTTGGAAACATTCCATTATATTTACATTTCAGAAAGAATTCCTGTTTAGAGAGCATTTTAACCATTCAAAGAACCATTTTCCTGTATACTTTTGGCCAGTGCCTCCATAGAGATTTATTCTAAAACAATCATTTGATTCACTTAAACTTAAAACACATCATACAAACAACAGATTATTATTAAAACTGAAATATTTTTAATCTGTTCATAGACCATCATCAGGGTCAATTTCAATAATATAATTTGACCCATTATAAGTGTCAAAATTAAAATAAATTAGAAAAAAAATATACATTATCTATAATTGATTATTAACATAAATTAGCAAGAGAGTGTGCAAAGTGGTAACAAAGATCTCTTTGTGGCAATTATTTCAAAAACTAATAGGTATCTGTAGACCTTTTGCTAATGTATATTATGTCAGGCATTAAATGACAATGTGAATTCTCTCTCTGAAGAAGGGCTGTTATAATCTCAAAATAAGGTAATCAAAATAAGGTAACATTGTCAATTACAAAGTAGTAGCATGTGAAAAAATTACATATTATCACCTTTTAGTGAATTCTGAGATATCACTGCAATACATATGGGATAATAGTGCATCACTGCACAAACACTCTTACAGTGCAGCATTGGATGAATGTCAATTCCAGAGCAGTGGGTAGGTTGGAATGAGCCAGTGAACTGGTTACTAACATCTCCAAGATTTTACAGCCATGGATTTTTTCTGAAGTTAAAGGTTTAGGAAACACAGCCATTTAATGCAAATGATGTGTAACAATGCATTCTGGCTGCAGGTACTACCATAACCAATGACATGTTGATAGCCATGCAGAAAGTTGTTGTTGAAAAGATACAAGTATGCATTGTTGTGGAAAATAGTCATTTTCAGTATGTGCAATACAGTACATGTACAGCATATACAGTACAAAACATTTATAATGTCTTGTATGTTTTATTTAGTGAGATTTGATATTTTCTATTAAATCAGAACATTTGTTAATCCATATCACAGCTAACCTAAACTTGATTGCATATTCAATCACTCCCACATTGCATTTGTGTTATGCAGTGATGCACTGTTACCCCTTGCATATTGTTTGGCAAAGCATTTACCTGTCCTATTTGACAGTCTTTCAAGGTCCCAGTTGATATTTCAAAATGCACTAAAAGGTAATAGTACCTATTTTTTACATGCCACAATTTGGTGATTAACAATGTTGCTCTATTTTTATTTGGAACTGAAATTACAACAACATTCTGTGAAAGAAGGGTTAGAGGAGGTAGAACGTCACACTATCATTTAGTATACACCTAACATAGTACACATCAGCAAAAGATAAAAGGTCTACAGTGATTCCCTATTAGTTTTTGAAATAATTGCTGGGAAAAGACTTTTGTTACTACCCTATATACAGTTTAATGATAGAAAATAAATTTTAAAAAATAACAGTATATGCATATTCAAATAATTTTGCTTTGAATTATCTAAAGTATCATCAGAAATACAGAATTTGAATATACATAAATTTAAAATTTACTTTACAATGGAATTCTAAGATAATTTGAAAATAATAATAGTAATGATCATTAATAAATTTGACATAAGAAGAGAAAGAATTTGGAAGAATTGTTCTAGAAATAGAATGGAGGAATTCATGTGTAAATGACATAAAAAAAAATGAGAGGCTAGTTCCAATGTGTCATATTGACCCTTAGGGGCCAAAACTTTTGTAAAGCTTTAGAAAAGATAATGAAGTGAATAGCTTTTAGAAAAATGCTACAGTATTTATTAAGCTGAGAAGTGAGAAAGATAAGAGAAAAATATATGAGAGAATGGGAATTTTCATGATAATGATGGAGGAAAAATAAAAGAATATGAAATATTATGTAGGATAAATAACAAGAGGGTTAAGGATTAGATTGAAAGAATACATAGATTTAAAAAAAAAAAAAAACAGAACAACAATTGCACTATGGATAATAGAGTAAATGTTAAAGAAAGAAATTAATGTTTCCACAAATAGAAAGATAAAAAATTGATATATAGGAAATAAAGTTCAAAATGAAAATATAAGCTGTGCCAAAAGGACCTGACATATTTTAACTATGTTCATTTATTTTTATTCACTCTCCAATAAAGCAATGATTTAGCTATTTATAAAAGTGAAATGTCCTGGCTTTAAGTTGTAAGTCAATTTTGAAAATGTTTGTCTTCTAAATAGGCAATATTAAATATTTTAAAATTTAATATATAACTCATTCTAAACTAATTCTAATAGTTTAACTAAATCAATACTTACACACATCCATGAAATTTGTATATTTTATTATTAGGAGAATCACATTCAATTATTCTATTAAAATCAGTTGGATGAAAATTAGCATTCTGTAAGAAAAATAATGAACATTATTTAAAATGCTATATAACTTTAAATTTATAAAAAAAAAGCTATTAAAAAGTAAATTGAATTCACTAAATTATTATTAAAATTCAAATACATAATGAAATTTATAAATAATACAACTGTAAATTCTTCTAAGATTAAGAAATCAAAATCAAAATGAAAACTTATGTAAAAACGTATGAAAAATACAAAACTACATACATAATATGTGAATGTAATTAATACTGTATAACAAAACTTTTGAAGACAAAGATTATTCTAGCTGTTCCAATTTTACAAGCATATAATGCAATAATATGTTTGATAAACTTTTGGATATTTAAAAAATGTTTGAATAAAATTAAGTTAACTAAATCTTCATCTGCAGAGAAAACATGAACATGCTTTAAAATTATTATTCAAATTTTCATAAGTAAACAAACGTATTTTATAGAATTTTTCTTTTAAGAATTTAAAACTATTAGAATTCATTACTTATGTGTATTATTTAAGTCATTATTTTATTGTTCAAATCCATATACGTAGTACAATCCAAAAGTTCGGGGACTGCAGTAATGTATGACAACAAAAGCATGTATTTGAAGAGTCAGCATATGAAATTGATTCTATCAAATCTTTCCTATGTGTTCAGGTTGGTTTCGCCCATGTCACATGATTAAACCGCGAGTGCTGTTGTTTTTTTCGGAGATAGTTACTTTTGTTTTGCGACGTAATAAAAATGGAGTTTCAAGAACAGCGCTGCATCATTAAATTTTGTCAGCGTTTAGGTAAAACGTCTATGAAGACTTTAAAATTGCTAAGAAAGGTGTACGGTGATTCTACCATGGTGAAATCAAAGGTTTAAAGAGGGCCGAGAATCTATCGTAGATAATGAACGCTCTGGCCAACCTTCAACTTCACGGAACGAGGAAAATGTTGAGTTGGTCTCTCAATTATCTAGACATTTTACATCGTTTGAGGGAATCCATTCGTCGTAAACGGCCGCAGATCTGGCGAAGTGGAGACTGGTACCTTCTGCATGACAACGCACCTGCACATCGGTCCCAAATGGTCACACAGTTTCTCGCCAAATCTCAAATTAATGTGCTTCCACACCCCGCCTATTCACCGGACTTAGCTCCATGTGATTTTTATTTGTTTCCATCAATGAAAAAGCATTTGCAGGGACACCGTTTTGTGTCATCAGATGAGGTGAGAGCAGCATCTCAAGAGGCCTTACGGGAGGTTTCAAAAAATGGCTTCCAGTAGTGATTCCAGAAGTTATATTAGCGCTGGCAAAAGTGTATCATTGCCCAAGGTGATTATTTTGAAGGTGGTTGTGCATTGGCAATATAAACTTTTTAAGGTAAGGAATTTTAAGCCGTCCCCAAACTTTTGGATCATACTACGTAAAATAAAACACAAAGAAACTAAACTTCATTTGTATTGAGCAACATAAAAAATCTATTTAGATAATTATTTTGGTAATAGGGCATCATTATATTAAAACAATCATTTTATACTGAATTAATAAGAGTATCATGAACAAAAATAAAATAAAAGTTATACCTGATTCTCTAACTTTATTTAATTATAGAAATAACATATGTGAGTAAATATATCTATATTTTTTAAACTTTTTTGAGATTTCAAAGAGATTTTTAATTTTAAATTCTCCAACTCTCTTTAAAACTATAAAATAAAAAGACTAAAAAATATTTTAAAATATAACAATTTTTAAAATAAAAACAAATTATTTAATCATTTAATTATATTTTCATTGAAATTGTATTCCATAATTAAATAATCAGATTTTAATGAAAGATTAAGCCTATGAAAGTTAAATTGTATGGAACAAATAAATAACTACTGTAATAGAATTTATATTTTAAAGTACTAATATTTTTTAAATATAAATTCATTTAATAATTTTAGCATTCAAAATGATGTTCTTTACTATTTTGTAATTGTTCATCATTATTAACTCAAATTAAACAATGATGGTCATTTGATTTTTTATAAGGAAATTCTTCTCAATATTTTGTTTGGAAATTTTATAAATGATTTGTATTTACATGAAAAACATTTGTGATTTCTAACTTTTATTCCATTTTATCTAAATTAGACTTACTAATTTGATTAATAAGATTAAACTAATAGTGAGACATATTATCATGTTATTATTCCACTATTCTATTACTACAAAATTCTAAATTAATTTCATGAATAAAACTACACAACCTATTTCTACATTGCAAATGAAATACTTATTAATTAATTGTTTAATAATTCTGGTAAATCTTATTAAATTAATAAAGCACATATTTAATTACATTCATAGAAAACTATACAATATTAATGTAATGCAGAATTCATTCAATATTGCCTATAACTGACTTACCAGTTTCCAGTCTCTCTAAAATACTGCTATATATAGCTTCACTGCTAATGAGTTTGGTTGTATAGTTTAATAGCTCAAAGCTTCTTGGGCCAAACTACACCAAGTAAAATTATAAATTTAATAGCAGAAAAATAAATAAAATTGTATATAAGATTACTGGTGTATACGCTCAGCTACAACATTGCTGCTAATGATGATGAAGATAAAATATTGTTGGCAATTATCATAACAATTTGTTCTTGATTTGTCTACCTAATGAATATGTGAAGGAAACAGACTACAGTATGAAAGACAGCATCTCAAATACAGTAGATCAATAAAAAGTCAGGGATTCAGTTTCAAAAATATATATCAAAATATTTGTTTATAAAATTCATAAAATGATTAAACTTTCACTTATATAAAAAGTCCTTTCTCTGAAGTTAGAATCAAAAATCATTCCAGATGGTAAATAATAATTTCGAATAATGAAATTTGAAAAAATTTTAAATAAAAACATAATAATGATTTTTGAATAAAAATTATTATTCCTCTAATATGCATCCAAATATGTCAAGTATTACTCTGAAGGCTAATGTAAACTAAATAAACTTTTGCTCACTGCTGTTAATTTCAATTTAAATGGATAGGAGAGTAGAGGATGTTATTGGTTTCTATCACAAAATATCAGAGTTTTTATGATGAAGTCATTGAACCACAGCCGATCTTAAAACAACATTTCCTATAGATCAGCATTCTTCAACCTTTTTCACACCTGTGGACCAGCAAAAATAGGAAAAATATTTTGTGGACTGGCAGAAGATTATAGATAAATTTTCTTAGACTTAAACTATTTGGATGCATATGATGCATGCAACTGTCATAACTGGACATAACGAGACACTGGGTATTGCAATCATGTTGTTTTCCTTCACATGTTGATCACTCACTTTCGAGTTGCATGCAGCCACAATAAAATAAGAATTTTTGCTAAATGTCACCAATAAGCAAGCTGATGCAATACTGTAATGCCTATGTGTAACAGTAGTATTGCAGTACTCCTTCTAATTAGAATGGCTTCTAACCTAAAAGAGGCCTGTAAATCAAGCCAAAAACATTTGTTAGAAGTACAGTATAAAGAAGTGCTGAAAAAGTATGAAAAGATGTGTTTTTTACATATACTTTTTTACACTTGGACTATAGCTAATAAGACTAGTGCTGGTTGGAAAAAAAACACAATCAAGTTTTTTACTAATTTAAAACCATGTCGTTTTATGTCGTTGTTTCACAAGCACGATAAAGTGCATTCAATCAGACACTGGGCAGCTTTTTATCCTTTATTTATTCTTTTTTAATGTGTATCAACTAAAAAAGAATAAATAAAGGATAAAAAGCTGCCCAGTGTCTGAGTGAATGCACTTTATTGTGCTTGTGAAATAAAAACAATAAAATTTTTCATCTTGCCCTTCTAATTCCCAAAGATTTACTCCTGGCTATAAAACTAAGTGAAAAACAATTTTTTTCTGAGAAAAATTATGATAAATGTAAGAAACTACTTTATTGGAGCTAGTTTTACACTATGTTAATGATGTAACATAAACTCCAATAAAGCAATTTCTTATATTTATCATTATTTATATTCTGCTTCTTAATATTTGAATATTGAAAAATTATTTTTTGTCATATATTGGTCAATTTAAAAGTAAAAATATTAAATTATTATTAAAATGTATTAAAATATTATTTTATGCATATTTCATTCTTTTTATTCTCTACATTTTTTAAACATCTACAAAAGATTCTCTCTTAACTGTTTGAAACATGGTAAATAAAAAATGTTAGTAACAAATATCTATTTATAAATGAGCAACAATCATCTTTACAAAGAAGAATATCAATAGAAATATATTAAAAATTACTAATATTAAATTGATCAACTAAGTGTGTGTAAAGTAAAAATTCAGAATAAGAAAATTAATTTATTCTAGAAGTTGTGAAGTTACAAAATGAATAATGCATATAAAATAAAGAAAATATTTGAACAGTGTCAATTTAACAATACCATATCTACTCCATGGTCTACTTCCTTTCATACTTGTTTTCACACATTTCAAAATGTTCTGGACTGAACTGGACTGAACACCCTAAACTGAACCTACCATTCAATTTAGGAATGCAGGACTTTAAACTGAAACTGAGGTGCACTGCAGGTGTATTGAACAGTTTGTTGAAATCCCTCTGACAGATGGCATTCAAATAAAATAAGCCTTCAATTACACTCAACAGATTAAATTTATCACCAGAATTCAATAATAATCTATTGCAATCATAATTAGACTATTTTGCTATTTGAAACATCATATATAGTCAGTTTAGTCAATTAAAGTAGAAATCCACCCTTCACTGATTTGTTAATAGTCAAAAAGACAAATGCTGCATCTTTTAATTAGTTCATTTACTCTTTCCTTTTTTTTTACATGTTATAAAACCTAGAAATAAATTAATATTAAATGAGTAATGAGTATTTACAAAGCTAGTTCTAAAATTGAACCAGATATTTGAGAAACCATCTCGTCACAAAACCATAACTTTTCAGAAAATATAAAAAATTGATGATTTTTC